TATGTGGAAGGAAACTGTGACCGAGGACAAGCTGATGGCATAAGATGTAAGTACAACTCCTCCGGTTGCAAAAAATATGCAAAAAATATGCATATGCATATGCAAAAAAAATTATTGCGCTAGCTTACGTGGTTGCAGCGCTACCGGGATTTAAAAATAGTTACGCAAAACAGAGCGTGCCCGCTCTGACCGGTTTTAAAGGGTTAAAGAAAGTTTTAAAAAACTGCAAAAAACGCAAAAAGGATGCCAGTACCTTCCTCCAACAGGCTGGTGGAAGCTGAAGCTTCTCCGTGGGGATTTTTAGCAAAGATGGAGTATTCTCCGGCATCGTCAGCAAAGGTCATCGAGATCTCCAGTTTACATTCTCCAGTTTCCTTGTAGGCAACTTTGTATCTGATAAGAAAACCAAAACAAGCTAGTTCCCCATCGTCACAGCATGATTTCAAGGCTCAATAACAAATTGTTCTACCTTAATATTTGGTTTGTCACTGCCATTACTTACAAAGTAAAGTGGATTTTTATTTAAAAAACAAAAAACGATGTGTTAGAGAGTGTACAACGTACAAAAGACAATGATAGCTAGCTCGAGTTAAGCAAAACCACAAAAAACATTGGCCGGTGATGTAAATATGTCTTTTCAAAGACACTAACCTGCTTTGCAATAACATGGTCATCAGAGGACCACTGTTAAAAGGACCTCATAAACAAAATATCTGAACTGCTAAATACAGGTAAGTTACCTACATGCTAATAAAGATCATTATCACAGTTGTGGTAATTATTAAGGTCTGATCCAGAACATTAAAAATATTGCAAACATTACAAAAAAGCTGACTCATAACGGAGCAGGACTATAACTGTCCCTGTTTGTTCCACAGATAGGAGATGAAATCAAAGAGAACAAATACTTATTTCACTCAGTGACATGCAAATCAATAGATTTCTGGTTGATATCTGTCTCTGTTCATTTCTTTGCAAGTCAGCAAACTCAGATATTCAGCAGGGGATCCATTTTTCCTGTATGTATTTTATAATCTGTATCACCTGTATCCAGTGGTAAGCAGCACGCCATTCTTCTTCCAGATAATGTGAGGTCTTGGATTTCCTCCAACCTGGCATTCAAACACAACACTCCCTCCCTCCACTAGCTTCTGCACAGTGGGTTTCTTGATGAAGAACGGAGCTGCAGGTTCTCCTGCGCTCAACTCTGTCACAGTCTGCAGCTTTGCTTCAGCTGCAACACTGAAGAGGAGCAATAGCTTTATCAATTCTGCAGCTTTGGATTCTTACATGACTATAAATCTGCAAAGAATGAATCTGACTTTTACAACTCACGTTTTTTCTTGTGTGATTGCAATTTCTGTGACAGCTGTTTCCTCTCTGCTTTCGATTTCTTCTGAAACTACAAGAGAAAGTGAAAGTCAAATTAGTTTGTATAAAACTTGATGATCTGTAGTTTCCCTGTCCTATGGTGTGCCACAAGGTTCTGTGCTGGGGCCCTTATTGATTTTAATATATCTACTTCCTCTCCAGCATATTTTGAGCCCCTTTGAGGACATTTGCTACCACTGCTATGCAGACGACATCCAGCTATATATATCTTTTAAACCTGAAGATGTTTCTAAGCTGCAGATTCTAAATGTGTGCTTAGAAACCATCAAAGGTTGGATGGCTGACAACTTCCTCCAACTTAATGAAGAAAAGACTGAAGTCCTTGTATGTGCTCCAGACAGACATGTACCTAACATAATGAATGCTCTTGGTCCTCTTTCAACATGTGTGAAATCGTCTATCAGGAACCTCGGGGTAACCGAGGACGTGGACATCCATCCTTACCCTGGATGTTCACGTCAAATCTCTGGTTCGGTCATGCTTCTATCATTTAAGAAACATTTCTAAATTGAGCCCCATAGTATCTCATACTGAACTGGAGATTGTTATTCATGCATTCATTTTATCACGATTGGACTACTGTAATTCACTGTTTACATGTCTAAACAAAAACTCCCTGGAGCGTCTGCAGATTGTCCAAAATGCTGCAGCAAGGCTGACAAAAACATCGAAATACTCTCATGTAACACCGTTGCTTATACAGCTGCACTGGCTCCCCGTTGAATTCAGAGTCCAATTTAAGATTCTGGTTCTGACATTTAAGGCTCTTCAAGAAGAAGCACCAGCGTACATCATTGAACTCTTACAGCCCGATGCCCCTAGTAGGTCCCTGAGGTCTTGTGATCAGGGCCTACTTGTTATTCAGTAGACTGTGGAACTCTCTTCCTCAGAACTTAAGATCTGCAGACTCAGTGATTACTTTAAAAAAAAACAGCTAAAAACACATCTTTTTAAAATTGCATTTTGTTAACTTTTGACTGTATTTATTTTTTTACCTTGTAAAGCACTTTGTGATCTTTTATCTAGAAATGTGCTATATAAATAAAATTTTACTTACTTACTTACTTTAACATGTTTTAGCATGTCCACAACTTGGACATTTGATTCTGTTGTGTTCATCAATTTTCAAGTGTACCAGGTGACCGCAAAAATCCAGTTGTTTTTCTCCTCTACAGTATATTTATTTCCATACAGTATAGATACCTTTCACAAGCAGGTAGCAGGAGGTGCTCACAGTTCCTGCTTCATTGGTGGCAGAGCAGGTAAACCGGCCACTGTCTTCAGCAAATGCCTCACGAATAATCAGCCTGGCAAATCCGTGCTCATAGCTGATCTGGAAGTCAATGGAGCTCTCGAGCTTGTAGTCCTCCCTGAACCAGATTATGACCGGGGAAGGGTGACCGCTGATTTTGCACTCCAAGGTCACTGACTCACCTTCGGTCACAGTCAGGTTCTTCAGTCCCTGAAATAGTCATAAAGAAGTTTACAGGATGTACGGCAATTTTACATCACATTTATATTCTGAAGACAAAAAGGCCTTCTAGGAGTAAATAGTGATCAGAATACGCTCTTTAACTCAAACGTTAAAATGTCCTCATCTTGTAATATTGTCAAAATGAAAACTAGTTCATGCATTTGTTACTTCTAGGCCAGACTAATGTAATTCCTTATCAGGCTGTTGTATAAGCTCTGTTAAATGGTTAAAAATTGATCCTAAATGCTGTAGCGAGAGTACTAAGGGAGAGAAAGAACGATCATATTTCTATAATATTATGTTGTGAATTGTTTTCATGTTCTCGTACATTATTGGGTTCACTTAGCAAAAAATGCAAAAATATATTATTCCTTACTAGGGATGGGTACCG